TCTTTATATACAGTCAGTGATCATCTTTATATACAGTCAGTGATCATCTTTATATACAGTGAGTGATCGTCTTTATATACAGTCAGTGATCGTCTTTATATACAGTCAGTGATCGTCTTTATATACAGTGAGTGATCGTCTTTATATACAATAATTATGGTTGTGTTTGTGTTGCAGGAACGTTGTCCTTGTGTTCTCTCTGTTCGTCTTGCTGGTGGATGGAGACCTGGACTCTAACGGTTCGATTTAAAATCATCTGATCAATATCTGTTCTCCTTGATAAATCCCAGTGTGATTGACAGGTACTGTGTCTGTTTTGTGTTTGCAGATATTGGACTACACGCCACGTCAACAGGTAAAGCACACATCTGTCTCTGATCTCTGGTTGATGTATTGGACCTGTCTGTTGTCTCACCGGTTTCTGTCTTCCCTGTTAGATAAAGATTCTACATCTGATGAAGCTCCCACAGGTGAGTCCAGACTTAAAATATTTCCCTGCAGAACACCTTGATCAAATCAAATCAGTCAACACCCGAGAGACACAACCTCCTACTGATTCAAATGTTTAACTTGTACACAAACTAAATGTTTACTCAGGTTATTTCTGGAATATTGTCACATGATCAGTTTACAGAGTTCATCAGATACAAACAGCATCATCTTCAGTTCTGACTGTTGTTGTTTTTCCAGAGAGTATGAACATCATCTCTCCTGATCAGCTCGGTAAGACTCTGAAAACTCTGCTGTATCTTCTAACACGAATAATGTGGATATGATATGAAGTGTGAGCACAGAGTGTAATGTTCTGTGATAAACAAAGAATTCTTTGCTGAAACTGCAGCTCCCCTCAGTTTAACAACAGTTTAACACACACACACACACACACACACACACACACACACACACACAGTAACTCAGCTGCTGACAGAAAAGAAAACATGTTGAATCTGGTGTAACAGATAAATACAGACCAAACACGTGAAGCTTAAAATAACTGTTCATAGAGTTCAGGATATCTTATTGGTCGATCCTCAGGAAATGTAAAAAAAAATCTATCAACATGCTGAAGATTCAATAGATTTAAAATGTGGAGAAGTGTCAAAGTGACTTTCAGCTTCTGGAGAGACTGAGGTTACCTGTGATACGCTGACATCTACTGGTCAACTTCATGAATGCGTCAAAGGTTTGTTCTCAGGCACATTTATCATGGCTGGGTTATGGCCGTAATGTCCATCAACCAATCAGAGAGCGGTTTTCCATCCTCATTATTAGCCAGGTGTGTTTGAAGATTCTCCAGATGTTTAAAATCAGTCTCCGCTGTTTTTAGATGGAGCTCAGTATGTAGGAGGAGGACCTTCAGGTAAGAATATGACGATGACATGTTCACATATTCAACCACTGACATGTTCACATGTTCAACCACTGACATGTTCACATGTAAAATCACTGACATGTTCACATGTTGAACCACTGACATGTTCAGCTGTACACCAGCTCACCTGTTCATGTGTTAATGTGAGTTATGTGTGTTCATGTGTTTGTCATGTGTTCACGTGTGTGTTCACGTGTGTGTTCATGTGCTCATGTGTCCTGTGTTCATGTGCCTGTGTGTGTCATATGTCCATGTGTGTGCCATGTGTTCATGTGTGTGTCATGTGTTCATGTGTGTGTCATATGTTCATGTGTGTTTATGGGATCATAGAGTGAATTGTGTTGATATTTTGCAGACACCAGCAGCTCCAGCACAGAAACAGCAGATGGTAAAAATACAATGTTAATACTAATTCATTCATTTTTTTGTTTGTTCTCATCGTCCATTAATTATGCTTTATGTGTTGTTGTTTGAAGCTCCAGCAGCCAATCAGGTGACAGCTCCTGGTAAGTTATTTTCTTCAACCTCTTACTTATTGATTGATTGATTGATTGATTGTTTGATTGACGATTAATGGATTGATTGATTGATTGATTGCAGAACCTGCTGCAGCTGCTACAAACAGCGTGGAGGACACAGACGGTCAGAACAGTACAACACATCTCACAATGTCACACAAACACTTTAACAAGAGATGTTTTCACTTGGGTCTTTTGATCTGAATAGTTTTCACTAGTTTCTTTTTATCTGAATTGATGTTTTCAATAGTGTCCTTTGATCAGAATTCATGTTTTCAATAGTGTCTTTTGATCTGAATT